ATATATATATATATATATATATATATATATATATATATATATATATATATATATATATATATATATATATATATATATATATATATATATATATATATGTTTTTCCTGATTTTACTTTGTTATTTGGAACAGACTTTGCTCTTACTAAGAACTAAAATATTTAATTATTATTATTATATTAATTTTTTACTAGCTCTTAAAATTTTACTCACATTGAATAAAGTGAATTCAAACAATCGTTTTTCGTCTTAAGCGTGTATTTCTATTAATATTGACAGATAGTACGTAATTAAATTAAAATTACAGGAAAAAAAAGAACGGGGGAAACGATTATTTGAAATAACTTTATTCAATTAAAATAAAACTTTAAAGTTCGCAAAAAATTAATGCAATAATAACAATTAAAAGCTTCTTTTTTTCTTCTTAATGCTTAGTTAAAATTGAAGTTTTCAGTTTGATGTTGATCGCGAAGCAGGAATACGCCAAATTTACCACAGATATTGTATCGAAAGAGCAGCAGCTAATTTGGCGCATATTTTTACAACTGTAAGGTTAGCTAATAATTATTTATTATTTCAAACATTTTAATATTTATGCATACATGTCCATTCGTTTTTCAAATATAATTCAATCGAAAAAAATAGTAAATTTTCAAGTGTTAAAGTTTATTTTATATTTTATAGTATAAAATCAACTAATATTATTGCTGTAAGGGAAAAAGGAATGAACTACTTCAAAATCTACGAAATTTATTTTTCATTTTTTAATATTTGCACCAAAATGAATTTATATTTTAATGTTTTCTACTTTAAAGTGTAAGGAACTTAGTTTTTTTGTTTTCCATTTATTTCTTTTTTCTGTACCCACAACGATAGATAAAGATTTGTGGCAATCAGAAATCAAATATTAGCGAGTCAAATAGAGTTTTGTTTGCTTTTTTTCTCCATAAACTTTTGTCGTTGCATTTCTTCTGACACAAACTTCATTTCCCTTACTGTCATAACAATATCAAAAGCATAAGATTGAGCTTAAATTCATTTTGAACATATGGAACTCAATTATTATTTGAAATTTAAATTAACCAATTAAAAAAAAATCCTTTTTTTTGATTGCAGTGAAATAACAGGTCTTGAAGCAACACATCTGATTAAAAGAAAGCCGGATATTTTGACGCCAAACGGTTTGAATGTGGTCAAATTTGCAGCCTTACATGAATTTCAAAATTTGCATTCAGTTGCAAAAGAAAAAATTCACGATTTTATCCGTGGACATTTTTATGGGTTTGATGTTGTTTGTTCAAAATTTCATCCTTTCAACAGCAACGTGTAAAATAATTCGCAAATTTTTAAGTTAAATTTGTAAGTTTTGTTTGTCTAAACGAAACGTCCGTGCATTTTCGGTCCTTGTAGGGTCTGTGATCTGTGCATCGAAACCTGATTTTCTTAGTACTATATGAAAAAGTTGGTTTAATCGTTCTTTACAAAATTCGACCTGGTCAATTTAGTGCTATATGACAGATTTGACCGAACTTTTTTTGTCTTTTCAATAAATGGTAAAGCTGACGTGACATTAAGAGGTATCTAGGCGTGACGAGAAAACTGTTCCACAAATTTTACAAAAGTTAGAAAAAACAAGATTTGTCGTGAATGTAAGTTCATTAAGTTGAAGGGACATATTCCGATTACGTATTCGGTAGTAAACAATTGCCTTGCCATTGGAACAAAATAAATGATCTACAATATAGTGATAATGATAATGAATAATATTTTCAGACATTATGATTTCAATTTGGATAAAACAATTTATCTGTTTACGGCCGGACGTTATGAATTTACAAATAAAGGTGGTGACTTTTTCATCGAAGCATTGGCAAGGTTAAATTATCTTCTAAAGGTGTGTGATTGTTATCACTTCCAATGATTTGATTTTTATTCTGCTGTGATGCATCCCAATTTCTTGCCTATCAACATATTTTTTAGTAATTAAAAAATATTTAGAAACTTGTTTCAACTTCTAGTTTAAAGTTAACATTATAATTTTTAAGTGAGATAAAATGAATGAATGATTAATACTAGTACATACTAATAAATACCTTTTTCTACGTATTTCAATTTTTGTTTTTTCTCTTCTCCTTTTTTTCCTGCATTTCCTACATCTATGTGGTTTGTTTTGAAAATCTTTTTTCTTCAATTTTTTTTCCGAAATATTGCAAATTAAGTTGTTCAAAATTTTTTAATGCTTTTTTATAAAATGATAATTGATCATTAAATTGCAATAATGCAAAATATATTCACAAAAAATTTTCATCTCTGAGAATTTAAAAAAATTACAACACGGGAACTTTTTTTGAAATACAAATTTCAAGAAATCATTTGAAAGCCGAAAATTAAACAACAAAAAATTCCCGTAATTTGATAAATATTAATTTGAACGAATAGAGGATAAAAAAAATATGAAATGAATAAATATAGAATGGAATCACTAAAAAGACTAGATTTTAGTGGCAGCTAAAATTGAAGGAAATTTTATAAACTTATCATTAAATTTATTTAAAATTATAAGCTATCACTTTAAATGAATTTTATGGAATCGTAAACTGTTTAGCAGAAATTCAGATTTAAGAGTTGGCTCGTAATGCCGAAAAAGATATTAGCGCTTAAAGATGCTATAAAATTGAGCGACTGTGTCATCTTAGTCAAAAGGTCAACAACCTCCTAATAAACTATTCCGGAAAAGATTCGCTCGTCATAAACGTAACTCTAAATTTCCAGTAAAAATTTGGTGGATTGAAATTTATCAAATCTTCATTGATACTTTGATTTTTGACCTTCCAGGGAAAATAGCAAGAATTGAGTTGTTAATCGCTGGATTCTAAAAATGGAAAATTTTTCGTTCATTAAATCGTCGTATTTTATACTTTTTAATTAACTTTACACCATACTAAATGAATTATTTGATCATTAAATAAAGATTTCCTTTAAAATGATATTAAAAAATAGGACGGAAAAACAAAACCAAAAATAATGTGTGGACTTTTTTTTCAATAGATCTTGGCTTCTTGGCTTATAAATTGAACCGAAATTTGTGCTAAAAAAGTGAAGTGAAAGGAAGAAGGAAACTTTGGATATGAAATTTCAGGTGTAATGCTACTGGTCGAAAATATTTACGTTAACTTCAATTCAAGATCTCCTCTTACTTCACTGTTACAGAATTTTTTTCATTTGTTGAAAAAATTGAAGTATAACTTACTCATGTCCTTTCTCATATCAGTGTTTCAAACAGAGGATTTAGAAATTTCAACAAGAAAAAAATAGCAAAAAGAAAGAAAAAAATTTTTCTTTCTTTGTCTGTAAATTGAAATGATATTCTTCAACATATCAAATATCTTTTTAAAATATTTGACATCATAAAATTTTCGTTGAAAATTCCGATCCGAAAAAATATTTCTGTAATTTCATATTAAAAAAGATTATTCGTCTGCTTACGTACAACAATCAGCCCTAAGCAACATAGATTTGCAACTTTTTTGAACAGTATTAAATTTTCTAGAAGTTTAATTGTTAAAAAATTGGCAATGAAAAGTTAATTCTTAAAATATGCTTTTCCGGATTATCTTAAATTATTTTTCTGGAATACTTTAATTGCTTTTCTTAAAATATGCTATTCCGAAATATCCTTAACTACTTTATGAGTTTACTTTCACTTTGTTAGTAGTTTTACATCCTCTTCAATGCTATACTTTCAAATATGATTTAAAGAAGTATAAAATCTAGATGTTATTCACAGGTGGTTATTTGTTTGCTTTTTTTCCAATCAATAAAGTTTAATGGAATTTTGAAAAAAAAAAATTGAACTAAATTGCTGATATAACGACATCATTATCAAATTTCATCCACTTCTCTTGTTTCATGTAAACCGGTCAGATTAGCTTCTCTTTTTTTTCGTTTTATTTTTGTTAATTATTTTTCTGAAATTTTTGGATAGTGACATTTCTCTTTCAGATTATTCGTTAATTGAAAACCGTATCAGTTTTCTCTATGCTTTGCAAAGAAAGGAAAGTTTCCAACAATTCTCTTTTTCAAATTTCAATTTTTAGCAAAAATAAACTCATACAAATCCATTTCAATCAGTCATTGGTTCATTAATGCTTGGTGCAATTCTTTTTTGCTTTCAAATAATTTGAACTTTTTTTTCGAAATTTCTGGATTAAATTTTAGAGCTTAAAGTAATAAAACTGACATCATTTAAAAAAAAAAAAAAAAAACCGTAAGTTATATCCAATAAACGTGATTTAAATATTTTACTAGATTTCACTGATAACGATAAGTTACCTTGAACAAAATTTATGTAATCTTTTTTCAGTTTTAAATGTTTTAAATGTACTTGTTGTTGTTTTTTTTTAATCAAATAAAATTATTTTTCTCAATTGAAATTGACATTATTCAACATAATCGTCTTTTTTTCTTGTCAAAAATTTAAACTTCGCTTAATCCATTCAAAAATTAAAAGCTAAAAACTGCTGTTTTCATTCATACCATTTATTTTTATTCTCGAATTTCTCTCTCTTTCCTTTCTTTATCCATTACTCAAATGTACTGTAAACTTGCATTCATGCAACTTTTCTTTCACCTTCCATTTACACCTTTTATTTTATTTTAAATTGAGCTTACTGAAATAATAATACAGTGGAAGAACAATATTACATCCTGAACAGGCTTATAATGCTAACAAACTAATTAGCTAATACTAATAATAAAATTGCGTGAAGTAAACAAGTTGAACGTACTGAAGGTTCTTCTCTTATGCATGTTTATTTTTCTATCATTTTCAATGTTTTTTTTTCTCCCTGTTGTTTGTTTGTCAATAATTGCTTCTTCTATTTTTTCCATTTGCACTAATATGATCAATTAATAATTATATCAATTTAGACATCAGCTGATCCCAATTGTAAAGATGTCACCGTGGTTGCATTTATTATTTATCCTGCTGCAGCAAATTCATTCAATGTGGAATCATTGAAAGGACAAGCGGTATGCAAGCAATTACATAATACAATATCGAAGATAAAGGAAAATTTGGCATCGAGAATGTTCGAAGCATGCTTGAAGTTTGTTTAAATGTTTGAAATTTCACAAATTTATGATACCAATGTATGCTTCGTTTCATTATTCCAGTTATTCCCAATGGGTAGTCCGCAAAGGCTATAGCATGGTAAATAGAAAACAGGCAGGGAAAGTTCTTACCAATGTTTGATAAAGTAATGCGTTGAAAGTTTCGATTAAGTTATTTTTAAATTGACAGAATTTATTACTTTTGAACTTTCTGATTACTGCTACAAATAAAAAAAAACCAAAGTTGTCCTTGGAAGGTTGAGAAGCACTACATTGTGGAAGGTATGTTTAATCGATCTTAGAACAAATGATATGGTCATAATTTGTTATGAGAAGAAATATGTAAGATTGCCAATATCTTCCTTGGATCATTGATACGAGTTAAAGATTCTGTTTGTTTAATTTTTGTGTTAACTTAAAAAAAAAAAACTTCCATCATGTTTCAAAAATTTTAATCTTTGTTTTGTAAAATGATATTAGAATGTCAAAATTATTTGAATGTGATATTATAATAGTAGAATTTTTCTTACTAAATAGTATTAAAATAATAAAATTACCTGAACATAATGCTGGAATGCTAGAATTTTCTGGTTATATATTGACATATGTTTGTTTGCTTCATAATATTGCATGCTGTTCCATCTCATTCATTTTTGGAAAGAAACTAAAATATCAATCATTTCACTCATTAATTAGATTATTTTTAACCAATTAAATTACTTTGGCATGACAGTAAGTAACTGCTGCTGTGTCAAACGGAAATTGAATATTCTCGGATTTATTCATATCTTGAAAATACGAAATGAAAAAACGGAAATATTTAGAGGTCGCATACCGGAAATGGAGGATTTGCTACTTCCGGATGAACGTATCCAATTGAAACGTTGCATATTGAGTGCAAAGGTAATCTTATTTAATGAATGGCAAGATATAAATTATAATGGCCATGAGTAATGTTTTAAGTCTTTTTTTTTTGAGAAATTATTGGATTAAAAGTTTGGAATTATTTCAAAGTTCCTTTCAAATTTCAACACCAAGTCTTGATCAGTTAATTAATTTTATTTAATTATGTGTTTAAGCGTGATAATTTGCCGCCAATATGTACGCATAATATGCTTGATGATGCCTGTGATCCTGTATTAAATGCTTTCCGACGTACTCAACTTATAAATCAACCGTATGATCGCGTTAAAGTATGTTACATCTGATCCGTTTTCCATTTTTATACTCTAACTACAAATGATTCTGATCCTTAATAATACATTGAAGGTAATATTCCATCCGGAATTTTTATCATCTGTTTCACCCTTAATGAATTTGGATTATGAAGATTTTGTTCGCGGTTGTCATATGGGTGTTTTTCCGAGTTACTATGAACCGTGGGGATATACACCAGGTTTGATATTAATTGATTTTGCCATCAATTGAGACTTCCTACATAGATATTTTTCTTTTTTACTATCCTAACAATGAACTGTTTTTGGAGAAACTTTTCTACATTAAACACTTTTTATAGCTGAGTGTACGGTAATGGGTGTTCCATCAGTTACAACCAATCTCTCAGGATTTGGATGTTTCATCCAGGAGCAAGTACAGGATCCTCATACATTTGGAATTTTTGTTATCGATCGTCGGTTCAAAGGACATAATGAGGCTATTGATGAACTTGCAAAAACTCTTTATGACTTCACGTTAGTTGAAATATTACGTGATTTTCACTTACCATTCGACGTTTTAAATACAAACGATTACAAATCAATTCTAACATTTACTTTTATTTCGGTTAGTTATGAATTTTAAGAATAAGTGTTTTTTTTGTAGATTACTTTCGCGCCGCCAGCGTATTATTATGCGAAACCGGACGGAACGACTCAGCGAACTTATAGATTGGAAAACTCTCGGAACGGTAATTCACCCATTATTTGATACTATGTATGGACTAAATTTCGCGAATAGCAGATTCCAGTGAATTCATGTCTTAAATTAAAACAGACTAAGAAAAAAAAACGAATTTATTCTTCTTTTCCATCCACAATGCCTATGTCAATATTCTGGAAAATTGCAGTTTTATCGGGAGGCACGACGAAAAGCACTTGAAGCTACGCATCCAAATTTCATGCAAGTAATCGAAGAAACTGTGAAGAAAATGCCTCGTCCAACTTCAGCACCATCAACACCGGCTACAAGTCGATCCGTATCACCCTACGACAGCGAAGAATCAGATACTGCGGAACAGGAAGCATTCGAAGCAAAAGCATGGGTAGAAGCTAATTAAGTAGGCTATTGTCTTAAAATGATTGTGTATCTAACATAACAAAGAGATTATCAACCATATTTTCATATAATAAGATGAAATTTCATGTTGAATTTTCTTTTTTCTTCTAGCAGTGCATGGATCAGATTTATTTTAGCCTGAATCTATTGACCTGAATCAGAGTTGTCCTGCAACATGCGCTTTACTTTATGTATTTACTAATAGGATAGAAGAAACAAAAAATTAAGAGTGTGAATCGTTCAATTTGTAACCAAACAAATAAAAGTTACATTTTTATCAATCCATTCTTGATCTATTGCATTTCCATCTTTCCTTCTTTCGCAAAAAATTGTTGGCAGCAAGTTTTTAATTATCATTTCAAAAAAAAAGAGAAAAGGGTAGAATACTTTCCTTGGTGATAAAACTTAAAATTACTTTTTTTTAAAAGGAAGAATTATTGGAATTATTGGAATATTTTGAAATTACGATTAACCTATGTTTCCCAATGTTATATTTTGTCATTCTTTTTGATTGTTATAATTCAGTCATTACTTTGTAATAATAGATTACGATTTTTCCTTCTTATTGAAATAGTTGACATGTGTGCCTAATCTTTTGTACTACTACCATAACCTTTGACATCTTGTACCACTTTTTTAATGCAAATTTACCAATAAATTTTTGATTGAATAATTTAATTTTGTTTCAAAATTGAAATTAACAAGTTAGAAGGAAAATAATAAAATGAAATATTTCAAGTTACTTTTACAATATCACTTGTACTATTGCATCCAAATAAAAAAGAAAAAAAGAGATTCATTGCCTTATTCTGTTCAGAATATGTTGTACGTTAAGAAATGTTGCGTCTTTTTTATGTGTAAGCTTGATCATTACAGAGCTGAAATGAAGAAAAATTTTACAAAAGAATAGTTTATTTTTCTATTTTCAAAAATTTCATCAAAATTTAGTTGCTAAACAGACTTATTAAATTATGCAATCAATAATTATATCTTCATACAACATATATGAGTATTACTACTTTTACAATCAAATTTAAATGATATGGTTAGTGTTATCATTTATCTTATCATTATTAATATAAGCTGAAGTTGTTTTCATCCCCCACTCCTCTCTGTCTCTTTATCATAAAAGTAAAAGTTTCAGTAAAAAAAAAGCTGTAATACGGCGTATATTTTCAAATAAAAGATGATAAAAACTAATTAGAAACACAATAATCCTTCACTTTCATTAAATCAAATTCCAATAAGTCTTGACAAGGAAAAATAAAATATAGCTGTGAATATTGATAGTTGAATTAGTAAAGTTGGATGATTTC